GAATTGTGAGTAGTTTAATTAGGGATTTGGGATTTATAAAGGGGTTAATCATGATGTATGACTAGATTCTTGATGGATTAATTGCATGAATGCCGTTTGATTTGTGTTTGAATAATTTAATTGATATCTCTTGTAACCTAGAACGCGCGCTAGAATTACAATTGCTTGTAGAATAAGTTAAGAGAGATCTAATTTATTCTAGGACACATTCACATACACTTAATCATTCGCTAAGAGATTAGTGGCGATTTAGGGGTCGTAAGCTCGCTCGTCTTGGCAATAATTTAGGATTCTGTCGCATGAGAGATCAGTCTGGTCCCCTAAATTGTTGTACTCTACGCCGCGAGAGCGGTAAAAACTTAGTAATGACTAGCTAGGTTCAATTAAGTTAATTTGATGTAATTAGACCTGATCTGCCAGAAATCTGGTTACCCCGGAATCAATCCATATTCCCTTCGTCGTTGATTAGAAAGAACCCCTTAGCTTTAGTATTCATTTAATTGCAAGTTAAATTTCCAATCAATCAAATCTCACACAAATTATTTTATTTTATTTTTCTAATCGCTGAATTTAGTTAATTCTTAATTCCTTTTTTTCCGTCCTTGTGGAGACGATACTCGTACTTACACCACTATATTACGATCTATTTTAAGTGCGAGAAAACTCACATCGCGGATCGTCATCTCCAAAGGCCATCTCCACCTTGCCCTTGGTGCACCGTTAATGAAGGTGATGGAGTATATGGCCCGGGAATCCCCGGTCCACAGACTCCTACTACTCTAATAAAGGTCCAATAGGCCCAGGAAGCACAACAGACCCAAATCACAACGCCGAGAGTACCAAGCAGCCCACAGTGCGCGCTAGGGGTGCCTTCGGCCCCCTGGTCGAAGGCTCCAATTCTCACAGGAGGGTCAAATCAGGAAAACAAAGCTACTGGGAGAAAATGGCGAAAATCAGTAGCCCTCGGCACCTAGAGCCCTCGGCACTAAGGAGGTCCCCGGTGCTCAGAGCCCTCGGCTAAGCATCTACAGCCGAGGGCACCTTTTTCGACATAATATCCGCTCCACATGCGCATGGATCACCGTACCAAGTACGACGTCACATCCAACAACCGCATTAAATGCGTCCACATGCGATTGCCAGCGCCGACCAGTTGAGGTGACCCCTTGGTCAATGGATGCTTGACATGTGTCCCTGTCTGGCATTTATTGCTACTATAAATAGCACCCCATTTCCCCGTTGTAAACCACGCTAAAAAGCCTTAACTTACATATTCAATACATTTTCTCTCTCTTACTTGCTCTGACATCTCTCTAGTTACTCCTCGCAGTGACCCCTCGGATAAGCTACCCCCGGGTATACTATCCATCATTTGGTGCTTTCGTTGAGAGGTCGAACGATCAAGTAAGAAACCCTCCCCCTCGACCAAACACAAAACACCTAGCTAAAATGGTGAGAACAACACGTGCCAACTCCAAAAATGTCGAAGACAGGAACCTGGCCCTCGGCGAAGTTGACGTCCCCGAAGCCTCTAACAGGGCTCCCGGGGGCGGCGTCATCGCCGGGTTGGACCAGACGGCTCTCGACCTACGCCAACAGATTCAACAGAATGCCCCCGATGCCCGCCTCGGCATCGAGGCCAAGAAGAAGGACCGGAGCGAGAATCAAATTAGCCCTCCGGTCATCACAATCGACGTACAATCGGCGTTTTCCGCCTTCATCGAGACGCTCACCCTGAACCCGGGTGCCTTCGGCACTTTGGTTGCCCTTCAACCTCAGGTTGGGGAAAATATCATGCCACCTCCTCATCCACACCCCTCGGGAACCCAGTCCTCCGGATTGGGAACGTCGAGGGGGTCCTGGCCCAAGATACGGCCTCCCAGGAAGTCCAATCTCGGGATCGCCACAACGTGAACAAGGAACAACTCCGGACCTCCGCCCTCGAGAGGCTCGGAAGGGCGCAAGACCGCCGAGGGGTCCAAGACCGCCGAGGGGGGAAGGCGTTCCAGAGGCCACAGGAAAGTGGTGGGTCCTTCTCCAGGGCCAATGAAAGACGTCCCCCTCAGGACAAAGGCAAGATACCTCTCCATGCCAACGATGCCCGTCACCAAATCAACCAGGCCCACTCGGCCCATGTCCATTCACAGGGGGCGGAGGCCCTCTCGAAGGACCCCCGGGACGAAATCATTACGGCCCTCCAGCGCCGGCTTGACGAGATGAAGGCCACCAAAGCACACGCCACCACTTCTGCCCCTCATACGAACCTCAAGTATGAGGCTATGTTGGCCAAGATGGAGGAAATGCAGAGAAAGATAACCGAGGGCTCCGGGGAACCCACCATACAGCTCCGGACCCGGACGCCTTTCACCCCAAGGGTATTGGCGGCCCGGATCCCAGATAAATACCGAGGGCAGCTCATCAAGCCCTACGATGGAAAAACTGACCCCCAGGAGCCATACAGCAGATACCAAAACAGCATGATGATGGTGGGGGCATCGGATGAGTATTTGTGCCGTTGGTTCCTCTCCACCTTGGAGGGGCCGGCTTACGAGTGGTTCAATCGATTGCCCGAGGGCTGCATTGACTCATGGCAAGAACTCGCCCAACGATTTTTGATGCAATTTGCGGGAAGACGCCGCACAAGGAAGCACTTCTCCCACTTACTGACAGTGAGGCAGAAGAAGGAGGAGACCCTTCGGGACTTCTTGGAGCGCTGGAGAACGGAGGCTGATAAAGTTGATGGTGCCGACGACGGGACGCTCCTGGCCCTCCTCCAAACAGTACTCCGCCCCGGGAACTTCTCAAGGAGCCTCATCATCGAACCCCCCCCCCCCCCCCCGCGATTATATAAGGGCCCTACAGCGGGGGGACCGGTATGCCGAAGCTGAGGTAGAAAAATGCCATCACGTCTCGGATCAGCAACGCCCTCGATCAGACGATAGAGGTAACCGGGGGCCGAGGGCTCCCCGTAACCAACCCAAGGATTCTGCCCCCTCCGGTGACCGCCCCCGGCATGGCCAAGCCAAGCCCGGGGAGGCTACAAGGGTAACCCGAAGGCTTGGGCACAGCCTGTTCTCCTGGAGCACCCTCGGACACCTTTGACGCACCCCGTCAGCGTCATTCTCGATTTCGCCGAGGAGAGGGCCTGGTGGAGCGAGATTCACGCGCACCCCCGGAAGTGTATGCCATCAATCCCAACTTCCCCTACTGTCGCTTCCACCTGCATCAGGGGCACAGAACTGATGACTACCATCAGCTGAAGACGGCCATCGAGAGACTAATACAGGCGGGCCATTTGTCCCAGTTTATTCAAAGCCCTCAGCAACAAGGCCCCCCTCATCAAGGGCCACCCCGAGGGCAAACTGCGAAAACAAATGCATGGGTCAACCCCAACACCATCCCCCTCGGCAAGAAGAGGGAGATTGGGAACCTGGAAGAAGAGGAGGAGGAGTACCCCCGGTACCAGGAAAAGAAGTGCCACATCCTCATGATCACCGGGGGCAATACCGGGGGAGACTCTACAAGTCAACGAAAGGTGTGGGCTCAGTCACTTTACGTGGGGGAGGTCACTCATATGCCCCCAGTAAAGCGGCTGAGGGAGGAACCCATCACCTTCACTAACGTTGATCTCCCCCAAGTGTCCTCCCCACACAGGGATGCCCTCGTCATTCGCACAGAGATAAATGACACTATAATTCACCGGACATACATTGACACGGGCAGCTCCGTCAATGTAATGTACTTCAGTACCTTCAGAGAGCTGCATCTGGAGAGGGGGTCCCTTCGGCCCATCAAGACCCCTCTTGCCGGCTTCACCGGTGACACCATTGACTCCGAGGGGGTTATAACCCTCCCAGTACTCTTCGGCGACGGGCTCCATAGAGCCAAGCTCGAGGTGGAGTTCGTCGTCGTCAACATCGACAGCGCCCAAAACATCATCCTCGGCCGGTCAGCCCTCGAGGATCTTGAAGCTGTCATCTCCATGAGGCACCTCTGCCTCAAGTTCCCAGCCGAGGGGGGCATCGGTTATTCGAGGGGGAACCAAAAGCTTGCCCGCGCTTGCTACCTTCAAGTAACAAAGAAGGTTAGCAAGACGGAGTTCCGCGTTGACACCATCACCGGAACTGTGGAAGCGGAAGAAAGGAGGTCGAGGGCTGAACCAGCCGAGGAGGTAGAAGACTTCGCGCTTTATCCGGCCAAGTCGGAGAGAGTCGTGAAGATTGGAGCCAAGCTCCCCGAAGACTTGAAGACCGGCATCATCAGCGCCCTCCGCGCCTACTCCATCGTTTTTGCATGGGGGCCAGAGGACATGCCGGGGATCAGCCGAAGGGTCATCACCCACCGCCTCTCGGTGGACCCTTCGGCCAAACCAGTACAGCAGCGGAGGAGACCCCTCTCGACCGAGAGGAGGGAATTTGTGAAGAAGGAGGTCGCCATGCTCCTCTCTATCAAGCACATCAAGGAGGTAAAGTACCCCTCATGGTTGGCAAACGTGGTCCTTGCACAAAAACCGCCCTCATTCCGCATGTGCGTGGACTACACGGATCTCAACAAAGCGTGTCCCATGGACCCCTTTCCTTTGCCAAATATTGATCAACTTGTGGATGAAACCGCGGGATGTGAGATCATGTCATTCCTCGACGCATTCCGCGAATATCATCAAATATTTATGCATGAGGAAGACGCAGAAAAAACAACCTTCATGACTCCCGAGGGCATCTTCTGTTACCTTGCCATGGCCTTCGGCCTAAAGAACTCAGGCGCCACCTACACTCGGATGGTGGCCAGGGTATTCCAAGCTGTCCTAGGGTGTACCATGGAGGCATATGTTGACGACATGATCATCAAAAGCAAGCAAACAACAAGCCATGATGACGACCTGAGGGAGATCTTCGCCATCATGCAGAAATTCAACTTTCGGCTAAACCCGAAGAAGTGTACCTTCGGCGTTCGGGGGGGGGGGGGGATTCTTGGGCTACATGGTGAGACGAAGGGGTATCGAGGCCAATCCTAAGAATATCCAGGCCATCATCAACATGGAGCCCCCACGCAACGTAAAGGAGGTCCAACGATTGACGGGTCGCCTGGCAGCCCTCGATCGCTTCTTATCAAAATCGGTGGAGAAGTCCTTACCCTTCTTCCAGATCATGAGAAAAACCGCCGGTTTCCAGTGGACTTCAGAGTGTCAGGGGGCCTTCGAGGAACTGAAATGGTACTTATCTTCACCCCCTGTGCTCTCTAAACCCAAGGTGGGGGAGATCCTATACCTTTACTTGGGCGTTAGCCCGGCAACCATCAGCTCAGTACTCATCCGGGAGGAGGATGACATCCAACATGTCATCTTCTATGTTAGCAAGACCCTAAGGGAAGCAGAACTCCGGTACTCCCCCGTGGAAAAAACGGTGTTGGCTATCGTGTGGACCGTCAAGAAATTAGGCCATTACTTCCAAGCTCACCCGGTCTAGGTCCTCACTCACCAACCCCTCGGCGCCTTGATGAGGAGCCCCACCAGCTTCTCCCGAATGGTAAAATGGGTTGTCTTCTTGAGCCAATACAACATCGACATCCTTCCTAGGCCCGCCATCAAGGGCTAAGCCCTAGCGGACTTCGTGACGGAATGTACGGCAAGATCAGCCACGGACGAGGAGCCCTCGACTCCTTCGGATGATTGGTGGACCCTCTACACCGACGGCTCCTCCGCCGTCAAAGCATGTGGAGGAGGGGTGGTTCTCATCTCACCCGAAGGCTTTCGGGCCTATTATGCAGTCCGCTTCTCCTTCAAAGTCTCTAACAATGAAGCCGAATACGAAGCCCTCCTCTGTGGCCTTCGGCTGGAAGCTAACATGAAGGCACGACAGATCCACGTCAAATGCGACTCCAAATTGGTTGTCGACCAAATTTCCGGATAGTACGAAGCCAAGGAAGGGAGAATGAAGCAATACAAGGAGGCGGCCAAGGAATTGCTTAAGGTATTTGAGGAACACTCTCTTACTCAAATACCGAGGGCTCAAAACTCTGAGGCCGACATTTTATCTAAGCTCTCGGCCGAATCCCGTGAGCACATCTCAAAGATTGCCAAAGTAGAAGAGCTCAGCCTTTCTAGCATACATGCTAGCCCCATCATAAACATACAACAGAGGCAAGATGACTGGATCTCAGACGTTGTCGCCTTCATCACCACAGGGCAACTGCCCGAGGATGAGGCCCGCGCGAAGCTAGCAAAGCTGAGGGCTCCCAGCTACGCTATCGAAGACGGAAGGCTTTACAAAAGGTCCTACAACGGGACATTACTTCGGTGCCTTCATCAAGATGAAGCCGAAGTGGCGATGGAGGAAGTGCACAGTGGCACTTGTTCAGCTCACTAGTGACCCTTCTCCATGTCCCGGAGGCTAATAATCCAGGGCTACTTCTGGCCTACGATGGCCCGGGATTGTGCAGATCTCACCCGAAGGTGTTCCGCATGCCAACACTTCCAGAAAGCCCCCGGAAGGCCAGCGGTCAACTATGCCCCCATAAACACTATGAGCATCTGACACACACCAACATCCATCTTAATCAGGGCCTTCAGCAACTGTCAGAAAAGCTTGACACTCTGACAGAGTCCCTGCATACCTTCATGAGCTCATCCAACAAGAAGATTGACACAATCTCCAGAGAAGTAGATGGAATTAACTCTGTCCTCTACTTTCACTCTCAATCAATGAATGGTCAGAATCAGAAACTACAGGAGATCGCTGAAGCCATTGACATTCTGCAATGGAATACTGATCAAGCCTCAGAGCGCTTCATGGAGATAGGAAATATGTGTACAGAACACAAAGCGCAGGCCTTATATATTCTTCACAAGGACAAGGAGCGTTACCAGAAGTTGGTACTCCTTGAAGCAAGTACATAGAGTATCCAGTCTACCATGGAAAGACAACAGAACCTGATTGAAGGTCTGGCCTCTATTACCCAGACCCTGCCAGAAGCTCTGGATGAGATCAGAGATGCCCAAGCATCAGAATTCTCAAAGATTGAACTCCTCCTTGGCGATCTTGTTGATGCCAAAAAGAGGGAAGACACCAGAGAAGAAGAAGGTCCAAGCTCCAGAACCTTGTCTATCAGAGGACCCTCATCTTCTGTTGATCCTGCTCCTTATTTCGAAGCTGCAAAGAAGAAAAAGCAAGCTAATGCAGGCACCAGACCTCCTCCTCCACCTCCCAGAAGTTCTAAGAAGAAGTCCTCCAACTTTACCTTCAATGAATGGATGAAGAGTGGGATGTCTAAGCCTGACAGAGCCCAATTTACACAGATGAAGAAGCTGATGACTCCACTGCAACAAGAGAATTTGTTTATGGACAGTGATGGACTCGTCCAAATCAATCATGGTGGATCAATTCAAGAAGCTGAGATCTGGTGGCAGATGAGAGTTCTATCTGGCAAGAACATTTCAGAAGCAATCAGAAATTACTTAGATTGCAAGCTTGCACCTCATTGAGCAGACTATCAGAATCCGAGGGACTTAGCCTCCATCAGAGCAAAGGTCAATGCAGAGCTTGAAAGGATTGACAAAGCAGGACCTCAGGTAGATGAAGATGAATCCTAAATTTTATCTATCTCTGATTATGTAATTAACCATCTGATAATAAGATACCATCTCTGCCTCTAGTTTGCATGACATCTTATATTATCTGTTCTTACTTACTTTCTGTGAATTCCTTGTGCTTGCTCTGTTTCTTTTTGTCCTTTTATTGCTATCTGATTGTACTGTACTCTTACTATTTTCCTATGCTAAGTTGCCCACCAAGATTTTAATAGAAGTTTTTGACTTTATTCTTGTATGGTGAGAGGCACTTCTCTGGAAATAGTTAAAGGGTTTTGGCATCATCAAAAAGGGGGGAATTGTAAGGAATAAATGTAATTAGATTTTGATGATGCTAGGTTGATTAGTATTTGAAAGTACCCCAATAGAATTTTTGTATTAGAATTTGTCTTTGTATGTACTAGAATAGTCGACTTGCCAGAAACCCTTTTGGTCTTCCTTATCAGAACTTCTACCAGAGATGCTCTCAGAGTTACTCTCCAGAGAAGCAATCAGAGTTGGATACCAGAGTTGGCATCAGAAGCTGCCATCAGAGTTCTGATCAGAAAACCTCATCAGACAAGCTCGCACCTTGCAGAACTCAAAGACTCTTACCAACGGTCGTTAAACTAACGGGAAATCCCCTAACGGCTACGAACCTTTCAACGGAAACATGGTACTGTACACGCATTAAATGCTCAATTAATGATGTACGTACGAAGATATATTTAAAGCTGATGATTGACCATGCGAGTATCTTCGCACCCCCAAAATAGCAAGTCGAAGGTCCAACCGGTCAAGTCAACAGTACAAGCATTTAATGAAGCTGTCTTCTACACTCTAACGAGAAGACTGCTCCCAGTATATAAGATACACTCTGAAGAACTACTAGGATAGCTTTGCTACAACATTTGCCAGACGAACTTGCTCAGATCATTCTACTCTAAATCAAATACCTCCAAGCTTTCTTGAGATCAAAGACTTACTTACCTCAACAAGAAAAGCTCAAGTTGGAAGATATACTTTCTGATCCCTCATCCAACTAGCAAGTTGCAAAGTTCCTCAGTTCTTCAACACTTCGAAAACTTCATCTACACATCCTTTGTGAAGAAGCAACGTTGGAGAAAACTGATCTTGATTCAAACACTTCTTGAAAAAGAAGAGGCGTCTCAAACTAACTGGAGTAAGTGAAGTGGTGATACTTCATAGAGACTCAGTGAAACGAGACCAGCCATCAGGAAGCAGGACTGCATCCCGGGTGGCAACTAGGCTTGAAGAAGACGTGGAGAGCTTCTTAAGTTCTAGGGACTAAGGCGTTGTAAACTGTTATTTTTGCAAGCTTAGTGGAACAGTGGACTAGAGGAACAAGTTGTTCCTTGAACCACTATAAAAATCCCCGGTGTCACTTACTTTACATATTTCATTTCTACACTTAAGAACTTGACTGCATAACTCAAAAGGTTGGACTCTGTGTTCAGCAGATCTTCCTCAAGAGTTATCAGAAAGGCATTTGCCTTAGTGTTGTCTGAGGCTACCCGGACAGAACCTAATCCGCTGCCAGGTCCAGTTCTGCCATCAGAACTTGACCTTCTCTGTCACCAGATTTCGACCATCTCTGATAAGTCAATTTTGACTTAGAGAAAAGTTTAAATTCCTGAACAGTCTATTCACCCCCCCCCCCTCTAGACTGTTCCCATTACAAACGGGACCAACACTATGTCAAAAGCTACACTTGGGGGATCCCAAACAAACAACAATGGCGTTACAATTGGCTGATCGATCTGTCAAATATCCTATCGGCATTCTTGAAGATGTTCCTGTCAAAATTGACAAGTATTATATCCCGAGAGACTTTTTTGTCTTGGATATGGAAGAAGATGCCCGAGTTCCTATTATTCTCGGGAGACCTTTTCTAGCCACGACAGGAGCAATTATCAACGTAAAAAGGGGTACCCTTATCCTTGACATTGGGGATGATAAGATTGAATTCAATGTATAAGAGCTAAGTAAGGATACACCTTGTGTCCTTGATGGTTACTATGTTGATGTTATACTCTTGTATCATAAAGACATTTGATGAGTCTTATTGGCTTTCTAAAGATCCCATGGAGTACACTATACGAAAATCTATTGCAGATGAGCAAGCCAATGAAATGGTGAATTTATGTCTCGAAATGCTTCAAAGCATATCTTTACCGATGCCTGAAGCACTTAAATTTCAAGTGCTTAATCTTGAAGATCAATCCTTCAATGTCAAAGGAAAAGCACCTGAAGTAGAACTCAAATCACTTCCATCTACTTTTAAATATGCTTTTCTTGGTCCGAATTCCACTTATCCTGTCATTGTGAATGCTGATTTGGATTTTCAACAAGTGGAAAGAATATTGCAAGTCTTACGAAGGCATCGAAGAGTTATTGGATACACCATTGATGATATTGTTGGCATAAAAGCATCTTACTGCATGCACCGCATTTACTTGGAAGATGATCACAAGCCGAGCATTGAGCACCAAAGACGCCTCAACCCGAACATGAAAGATGTTGTTAAATAAGAAATTCTTAAATTGTTGAGTGCTGGTATCATTTTCCCCATTTCGGACAGTAAATGGGTAAGTCCTATCCATGTGGTACCAAAGAAAGGAGGAATTACTGTTGTAAAGAATGACAAAAACGAGCTGATTCCTACACGAATAGTCACTAGATGGCGCATATGCATTGATTACCGCAAGCTAAACAAGGCTACTCGGAAAGATCATTTTCCACTTCCCTTTATTGATAAATTGCTGGAGAGGATGGCTAAGCACAAATATTTCTGTTTTCTTGACAGATTCTCTGGATTTTTCCAAATCCCAATTCATCGTGATGATCAAGAAATGACGACATTTACATGTCCTTATGGAACTTTTGCATATCGCAGAATGCCGTTTGGATTATGTAATGCACCAGGAACCTTTCAACGATGTATGCTAGCTATTTTCTCGGATCTTGTCGAGGAAATTATGGAAGTTTTTATGGATGATTTCTCGGTTTACGGGATTTCTTTTGATGATTGCCTTGAAAATCTTGATAAAGTGTTGAGCAAATGTGAAGAAGCAAATCTTGTCCTCAACCGGGAAAAATGTCATTTCATGGAAACCGAAGGCATTGGGCTATGGCACAAAATTTCTTAAAAGGGCATTGAAGTAGACCCGGTAAAGATAGAAATCATTGTGAAATTGCCACCCCCTTCTTCCATCAAGGGGATTCGCAGTTTTCTTGGCCATGCTGGATTTTTTCGACGGTTTATCAAGGATTTTTCCAAAATATCAAAGCATTTAATCAATCTTCTCTCAAAAGATGTGGAGTATAATTTTGATGAATCTTGTTGCACCGCATTTTCAAAACTCAAGTTGGCCTTAACTACTGCACCAATTATTAGGCCACTTGATTGGAATCTTCCTTTTGAACTCATGTGTGATGCGAGCGATTATGTCGTGGGAGCCATTCTGGGTCAACGCAAAGGCAAAGAAGTATATACCATTTATTATGCAAGTCATACTCTTGATGATGCCCAATCAAATTATGCACAACTGAAAAAGAGTTCCTTGCCATAATTTTTGTCATTGAAAATTCCGATCTTACCTTATCGGTAGCAAAATTATTGTCTATACCGACCATGTGGCTATCAAATACCTTATCAACAAAAAAGATGCAAAACTGAGGTTGTTGTGGTGGATCTTGTTACTACAAGAGTTTGACACGGAAATCCGTGATAGAAAAGGATCTGGAAATGTTGTTGCCGATCATTTATCTCGACTTGAGATTCCTTGTGATACCAAGATGCCAATCAATGATTATTTCATTGGGGAACAACTTATGGCTGCTCAAAATTTCGATCCATGGTTTGCCGATATTGCAAATTACCTTTCTCATGGGGTAATTCCACATGGTGCTACACATTCCAAAAAGAAGAAGTTAAAATATGACTCCCGCTAATATCATTGGGCAGAACCTTTTCTCTATAGAAGGTGTGCCGATGGAGTCATTCGACGGTGTTTGCCCGAAGATGAAGTTTCAAATGTCTTGCATCAATGTCATTCCTCAGCATATGGGGGACATCATGGAAGCTCTCGTACTGCTGCAAAGATTTTACAATCAGGTTTCTTTTGGCCCACTATTTTCAAAGATGCAAGCAAATTTGTGAAAAATTGTGATCATTGCCAACGTACCGGCAATATTGGAAGAAAGAATGAAATGCCTCAACATGGCATACTTGAAGTCGAATTGTTCGACGTGTGGGGGCTCGATTTTATGGGGCCATTTCCAAAATCTAATGGGAAAGAGTTCATCCTTGTAGCTGTTGATTATGTTTCTAAATGGGTAGAAGCAGCTGTCACACCGACAAATGATGCCAAAGTGGTGATCCAATTCATTCAGAAGAATATTTTCTCCCGATTCGGAGTTCCACGGTCTTTCATCACCGACAATGGTACTCATTTTTGTAACAAAGCATTGGAACGTGTCCTTTCCAAACATGGGATTCACCACCGACTCTCAACTCCATACCACCCGCAAACAAATGGCCAAGTGGAACTTTCAAACCGAGAAATCAAAACAATTCTCGAGAAAGTTGTTAATCCTTCCCGAAAGGATTGGGCCGTAAAGCTTGATGATGCACTATGGGCATATCGCACTGCTTATAAAAATCCCATCGGCACCTCACCATTCAAATTGGTGTATGGGAAAGCATGTCACCCTCCTGTTGAGGTTGAACACAAAGCATATTGGGCAATCAAGACACTCAACATGGATCTTACCTTGGCGGGTGAGAAACGACTGTTGCAACTAAATGAACTTGAAGAATTCAGACTTGCAGCTTATGATAGCTCAAAACTCTACAAGGAGAAAACAAAAGTTTTGCATGATCAGGTGATTAGCCGGAGAAAATTTGAACAGTGAGATAAAGTTCTTCTATTTAACTCACGTTACAAATTCTTTCCTGGGAAGCTAAAGACCCGATGGTTGGGTCCATTTGAAGTACTTGAAGCATTCCCATCCGGAGCAGTACAATTGTTAAACAAAAGCGACCAAAAACTCATGATAAATGGATAACGGTTGAAACTATACCATGATGGTGAGAGACAAGAGGCAACTTTTGTGTATTGCCTCACTTATCCGAAATATGAATGAAGAGGCATGGGTCAAGCTAATGACCTTAAACGAGCGCTTCTTGGGAGGCAACCCAAGTTTGTAAATTTCAAAAGAAAAAGAAAAAAAAAGAAAAAAAAGAAAAAAAATAGTCTAGGTTTTTGTTTTTGGACTCTAAAGGGGTCACATTCGCTCGAAAGTACATCTCAACGTCATCCGGCCGCACTTCAAGGAAGTTTTCTTTACACTCCTTTAATTTATTTTTCACTGAGGACAGTGCAAATTTTAAGTGTGAGGGAGTGGGTAGTTCGACCCTGATTTCTTGTGTGAATATTTTTTTCCCTGACTTTGAGAGGAAAATAGTTAAAGATATAACCGGGATCGACGAACATTTCATTAAGTGGATAAAAGCAAAACCAAATCTTCATCTCTATTAACTAAAACACATAAGTCGTTCATCATAGTGTTTAAATACATTTAAGTTCATCAACAATCATAAAAAAAACCTTGTTACTATTTAATTAAAAGAAAGACATTCTTTTCCATGTGGATATGAATCTTACTTCAATATACTACGTATAAGTGTTGTATTGTATTTATTATTTTGAGTGCACACCGCGACAAAGTGCACGTCAGAAGTCCCAAGTGATAGAAAATGTAGAAGGAATAAATTCTAGAGCTTCTCTAGAAGATAAGGTCTCTAGAACTCTCCTATCATTAATTGTATAGAATTGTCTAGAATGCATTAATTATAGAAGAGTTTGGATACTTTTGTACTAGTATAAATAGAGCTCCCCTATCGGCACTTTGTATCAAGCAAATTAAGTTGTTCTAATAAAAGAGTTCTTCCCTTTTGTTTAAATATTTGTTCCATAATATTTCTAATTTAGCCTCTCCATTTCTCGAATCTTCCTTCACTTATTTCCAACACAGAATAGTAGAGTTTGGAGCGGAGTTCTTACTGATGCCAAGTTGAAATCTCAAATTTTTGTGGACCCTGGCGCATAAGGCAGTACGAGCTCAAAGTGGTCCAAGCTCGGCTGGTTCTTCAGTACCTTTGCCTAGGAGGTTTAAAATAAATGTCGATGTGGTTGTTAGAGACAATTGCAGCGGGTTGAATTCAGGGAGTACTCTTAGAGTTGGTTGGAATACGGGAAGCTCTTAGCTGGGTGTAAGGAAAAGGGTGGTATTTTATAGAAGTTGAATCGATGCTTGTGGGGCGATCTCGTAAATCCTTAATGAGACAAGTGAGTCTCCTCTAAGTAATTGCGGGTGATATTAAAGGTCTTGTTTTAGGGATTTTTTTTAGCAAACACGGCGGCTCATGAAATATCTTGTTTATGTGTTTGATAACAATCCTAAATAAAAAAGAATACATAGTATGCATTATGTTGAAATAATATGTCTAATTAATTTCAAAACGGAGTCACAAAAGTTACTTTTAGAACTTGTGAAGATAAAAAAAGATAAGTTTTCATTTTTTAAAAACGACTATAAAGTGTTTGGATTTATTTTTTAAAACTGTTTATGCTCTTTCAAGGAGCAGAAGCAAATATCGAAATGTTTGGGTGAAAGTGTGAAAGTACTTCTGAGTGTTTCGAATTATTCCTAGAAGAAATTTTTGAGAAACTGGGGGAGATCAGCTTCTAAAAAATTGATTCTGATTCTCCTAATTTTAAAAAAGAAGAAGAAGCAGACTCGATTTCAAATGCCCCTAAATAATTTCTAGCCCTAAATCTATTCAAATTTCTTCTCCAAAAAGCCATCAGCAAAATCTACTAATACATTTTAAAAGTGACATATGGGACAATATCGCTAACGTTAATACTAAAACCACTCATACATTGCTAAAACATTGGCATACTTTATTTTAGAAATTGGAGTTAAAATAAAACTTTAGCGTTTGCAAGTTTGCTGCATAGGTGTGCGGCTGCCTTTCTCCCCTTTGCTGAATGCGCCGCCATCGCTGAAGGCTTGTCATCGTGAGAAGGTTAGTGAATTTCACAAGTAATAATCTTAGTCCGGTTTCTTTCTCGGTATATCCGGCGTTTTTGTTCCCCTCAATTGTAGAGTATTTTCATCCTCGTTAGCTTTGGCCAGTGGGATGTGGTGACTACTTGGATGGGATGTGTGAGCCGGAACGGCCCCAGGTTAGGGAATCGAGCCATGGTGCAAGTGTTGGAGGTTAATATGGAGGTTGATGGAACCGGACCAAAAAGCGGCTCTACAGCGGTGCTACTGGATCAACACCGCCTAGAATTCTTATAGATCTTGTGAGCGTAGTGCTTCCTTTGGAGGTGGCTGGGCAAATCTCTTCTCCCTTCCCGTCTTCCCGATGGCTGGTAAAATCGGAATGGCGACTTTGAATTGAAGATGGCTGATCAAACCTCTTCTCCATTGATGATGGCTGGAAAAATAAGGAGATTTGATCCTATTTGTTCTTTTCATTTTAATTACTCTAGTTTTATGTGCATGTATTTTAGGAGCAAGTACAACGACGATGTTAGATTAGCCTACCATGATGCGGGGTTAGCGATCTTGATGGGTCCTCAGGGGCTTGTCAGTTATATGTCTCACTCCAGGGTAGCTCTGAACTATTTGTTTGCTTTGTCTATTGTCACTTCCATTATTATTAATAAATTAGTCTTCTTTCAAAAAGAAAACTTAATTTTTACCGGTTCTACACTTTTACTTGATTTTCACGGATTTAAGTAATACGGAGTAGAAACTAGTAAAAGCGGTTGTCACCCTCTATAGAGTTTGCGACCTTCCGCTGTCGTCTTTGACGAAGAGCGGCTCCAGTGCATATTGAAGGCAGCGACTGTTACGGTTGGTCCTCGATCGAGCAAGCGGGTGTCATCCGTGTCTAGGGTTGTGGATATTGTGTCGTCGCCCTAGATGGAGTGCGACTCGAGGCAAACAAAAAGTTATGAAGCCATGTGACGGGGTTTCGTTTCGAAGTAGCAGCAAGGATTTCCAATGGAGGATATTGTCAATCAATACAACACCATGGCTATTGGAGGGATTGGAGAGAAGCTGAACTTCGAATATGACGAAGTCGATGAGGATGTGGCGGATGAGCGGCGGACGGTTTGTCCGGTGGTAGGTACCCTACTTACCGATCGGAAGATCACATTTCAGATTTTCAAGGATCTTATGACTTCTCTGTGGCGTTCGGGCAAAAGTGTTTCAATAAAAGAGATTGACGAAAAGAGATATCTTTTCACTTTTTATCGTGATATGATACATGTTTTAGAAAGTGGTCTGTGACTGTTTGAAAGGAACTTGTTGATTCTCAAGGAAGTTAGGCCAAAGGATATTCCACTCAAGGTTAGCCTAAATGGGGTTGATTTCTGGGATCAGGTTCATAATGTCCCTTATGGCTTTATGAACATAGGTACTCCTAGGAGGGTTGGTAATTATATTGGAAAGTTTATTAGCTTTGAGCCTTTGATGAGAGTGAATTTGAAAGAAAGTGGGATGCTTATATGTGTATTAAGATCTGCAAGAAATTGAAAAACCACTGAAAAAGAGAACAACCCTTAGAAAGGAGGTGTTGGCGGCCGCTTGGTAAATTTAAAATATGAAAAACTCCCTAGATTTTGTTTTGTTTGTGGGGTCATTGGTCATTCTGATAAGTTTTGTCCATTAACATATGAAGGGGATAATATGGTGTTGGAAAAATCTTATAGGGTGGAACTTATGGTTGCGGGGAGGAAGACTAGTCCTACGGGAGGGAACAAGTGGCTAGTCGAAGGCACCTCAAGCACAGGAATGGTGATTCAGCAAAAGAGTGATCTTCAAAGTAGAGTGGGCGCATGAGGACAGGACTGGATTGTGGCTACAGCGGACCTGGGCAAAAGCACGGCAAAGGAAGGAGACTCAATGAACACCGAAGAGATGTTGGGGATCACAAACACAGGGGGCTCTAGGAGGAGCAGGAATAGGAGGATCCAAATTCCAAATGATGATAGCATGGCTCTTGACAAGCCAAAAAACGAGGAAACGACCGATCCCGAACTTCAAACTCATCGAGCTCTAACGCAGGCCTGTTGGTCGGGAGCGTGGATGGCAATTATGCTCTAGATGACGAAGCAGAAATTTAGTTTATTGTATTTTTGTTGTTTATTTTTCTTGATCAGACTGTTTACATTTCCATTGATTATTTCTATTGTTGTAAGACTCTTGCATTAGATTTGGGTAATAGAAGGTCCGCTTTGACCGTCTTTGACTCATTTATGGCTATTATAGGATCAGCGAGTCATATTGCATCTTTGAAGGCGAATAGGGATGGACCGGTTCCGATTCGGGCCCGACCGGGCCTCGATTCATGAAGGGGAGGCCCGGAGCCGACCCAGGTAACCCCCAGGTCCGAGCCAGGCCTCGATTCTATTTTTTTTTTTTGCTTTTCCTAGTTAACCCTCAACCCTCTCCCTCACCCCCAAACCAACCCTAACCACCTCAAATGGCCTAAATTACCTAGCCCAACCCAAAAACTTAAAAAAAAATAAAAAAAAAACAAAAAAAATGGCCCGGCCAGGCCGGTTCACCTTTTGAAGGGCCCGAGCCCGAACCGACATCCCACCAGGCCGGGTGGCCCGAACCGGCCAACCAACCGGTTCACCAAGCCGATCCGGGCCCGCACAGTAGCGGGCCGGTCCGGTTCCAGGCCGGTTGGCCCGGCCCGAGTCCACCCCTAAAGGCGATTGACTCCAAATTTGGTTCGAGGGTTGGCGATTGCTTGTGATCCTTTTGTCTGTTTACTCCCTATCTAAATGTCGTGATATCAATTTAAGCCTCTTTTTTCCAAAAAACAAAAGTACTACACAGTAAAATTTAATAGTGGCAAACAGTATTAAAAAGAAGGTAACAAGTAAGAATAAGATAGTACGTCTAAAACAAATGTGGGGCACCGGATTAAATATAAACATAACATCAAAATGATTTAAAAATGAAATAAAATTGGTAAACCGAATATTATCAATGGGGTTTAGAAAGCACGTGTTAAATTAAAAAGTGAGAAACAAGTGCTAGTTACACATCAAGGCAATCCAGGTATCATATAGCTAAATAGAGCACACTCCAACTGTTTAGCAATGATAAACTTGAGCTCACCATCAACCCATATTTGGCGGAGGGGGTGGTGGGTGCATTCCTTGACCTGGTTGACCTTGTGGATGATGCATCATCATTGGGGGCCTACCCATCATTGTACTCGGAATGAAATTCGGCAAATTGCCACCGCTGGCAGGAGAGTGGGGAGGAGCAGGCATATTGATACCTGAAGGCATGGATCTAGGTCCATTAGTCATGGGTGGAGGTGGAGGTGGGACTGATCCAGAAAATGAAGGGGGGCCGTGAGGTGGTGGAGCTCCAGGTGGGTGTCCTTGTGGTGGCAAGGGTGGCAGAGGTGGAGCCTGAGTTGGTGGTGCAGGAGTTTCAGTCCCATTGGCAATCGGAGCTGATTGAGGTTTATTAGCTTCTGGGGGCTTTGTCTTGAAGTGTAATTGCAACTTCAAATGAAAAATCAACAACTTGAAAATGTCAGGTAAATTGCAATTGCACTCGACAATAAAGAAAAATAACAACTCCCAGTTTTGAACACAGTTTTGTAACAGGGTCTAACAAGACTAAAAAAACACTGTATTTTTCAAGAAAAAAGTCATGTATAGCAAGTTTGCTGACCAAATAAGTTTCAAAAGAATGACTAAAGAATTATAACAGTTGTACGGATGTACTTTGGTCAAATATTGACTTTTTTAGGAGAGATGTAGGCATGCCGTACAAAAAATTATCCCTACCATCCAAAAAAGGATCGCTGTTTGAAGAACTGTTTTTCAGATGATTTTAGAAGTCGACTTTAATTTTGAAGTAAAATCCAGGTAAAGCACAGAGAGCAAGCAATTTCAGTCAATTACTCCAAACAATCTTAGAAATAATTTGTTAGGGGAAAGGGTACCTTGATTGAGTTAGCTCAATACAAAAAGATTTCCTTACTCGAACTAAACTTTTTTTGTGTGGGGATCCCCATTAGCCCACTAGGTATGGTGCCATGGACGTAAAGCTGAAAGTAAAACAAGTGTCGATCAGATTGATGTCTGCTGGAAACTTACAGTGAACATCTTTGTGTCTGGATCCCAATGTGAGAAGAATTTTGGAGTTGATTTGTCAATCTCAATGCTTGGAACCTAAAATTAAATAAAGATATAAGAGTTGAGAATCAAACCCTTATAAAGGACAAAACGAATTGACTAACATAACAAAAAAATAAGAATTGAGTGTGCAGTCACCTTAAAAGCAATGATCTCATATGGTTCCGCAGCAAACAATAGAAACTGATATCTTTTATCGAATGGCTGGATTTTCTGCAAAAAAAAATGATAATAATAAAATAAAGTTGAGCATCATGTTAAGCAGATAGTCTTTGAATGCACATGTGCAATTCAAGGCAAACCTGCTCAAAGGAGGACATAAATCGATGCCTTGGCTTTGTATTGTCTTCAATCTCAGGATATTCAATCTGCATCAACCCCAAACCCACCATGCTACTCATTTCATAATATTCCAGGGAAAATATGAGTACAATTCCCCAGGGGTAAAAAACAAAAGACTGGCAAATGAACATGCAAATTGCAAACACTTGCGCTCAAGAGACATTTGCAAAAAATAGATGTTTTTTATTTTTTATCAACCACCAGAGTTTTTTTATTCCTTGTACTTGTACAGATATTTTTTAATTGATATGAGAGTTAACCCTCCTTCTCAGCTTTGGTACAGTGGTAGTTAACAGTACAGAAGCACTTATTTCTTGATAAGAGTAATAAATTGTTAAAGTGTTTCGTGATGTAACTCTAGGGAATAAAATAGACTACAATAAAAAGACCAATGTCCAAAACCATGTATAACACTGAAATATTATACACATAAGAATATGATAGTAAAAGTTAATATGATTCAATAGTAAAACCTGAAAAAGAAGAGATCTCTGCTTTGTTTCTGGATCAAACTGCTTTGTCACTCGATAGCCAGGCCTCCCAATTTTCACTAGAAAATAGACACATCTCTAAATAAGGTAACCAAAAAATCTCAACATTAGATTTGAACCTGTACATTAATTAACAAAGAAACTTGTTTTGTTAATATTGAATTTTCTCCCAAGTGAGACTGTGAGAGCAACAAAGTTTTAGGTCCGGGTAGATGGGCCTAGTTTAAGCTTCATGCGCTACAAGCAGTGTTGTCAACCCCGGATAGCGGAGCGTGGCGAGCTATCACAAATCGCTATAGCGGTATAGCGGGACGATTTCGATTCATGTGGTCTATGAAGCACACAAACTCCCCCAGCTTTTCCCTGTTTCTGAAAAGTTGGAATCACGTTGGAAATTTGGAAAATCCAAAATTCTTGTTCCGGGGTGTTTCTGTAATTAAGAAGAATTGGGAAACCCCTTTCCCTGAATAACTAGTACAGATTATAACAGATGGTTCTAAATACTCATCCGATTGAGCATTTATGAGGAGATATCTTAGAGATCTCCGAGTATCTAAATATCCCCAAATATCTTTTCTTTATTAGGGAACCTTAATTAGAAGGATTCCTTCCTTATTTCACTTTTCTCTAGCTATATATACTTTGTAATCTTCTCCTTGTATTACAAGGAACAAATAAACAAAATACATTTTACTTTCTCGAGTTCTTTCTACATGAGATCAAAGTGTGATTATTCTCTAAAATGATTATGTTCGGATCCTATGGGATGACCACCGAGAGAGATGGATCTATCTCAGTCACCTCTGAACATTCAGAGGTTGTCCCAAGTGGAGATGGCAGCAACTAGAATATCAATGGAAGCACAGTCACCACTCCTAATCAATCAGATTCGATTATTACTAGCCATAAACTCAATGGTAGTAATTATCTACAATGGTCCCAGTCACTTATGATGTATGTGTGTGAAAAAGACAAAGAAGACTATTTGACAGGTGATGCACCTGTTCCGGATCAAGGAGATCCGGGCTACAAGAAGTGGAAAAAAGAAAACTATACTGTGATGTCATGGCTCATCAATTCCATGACAACCAGTATAGGGAAAAAATCCTATTACACAAAACAGCTCAAGAAATTTGGGAGGCTGAGAAACAAACCTACTCAACTTCAGATAACACTTCTGAATTATTTGAGGTTGAATCAAAGCTACATAACACTTCTGAATTATTTGAGGCAGCATCTTGATGTGTTTGAGACATACAGTTGGTCATGTTCTAATTCAAGTCAGGTTTGAACAACAATCTAGATGAGGTTAGGGGTAGAATAATGGGAAAGAAACTCACACTTAGAGAAACCTTCTCAGAAGTCAGAAGAGAAGAAAGCAGAAAGAAGGTAATGATGGGTCTAAAATCTCTAAGGCCAACAACAAAGCATTGAATGGTCAGCCTTATATACCTCTTTCAGACAGAATGAAAACAAGAAAAAGGGGAGGCCATGGTGTGATCACCGTAAGAAACCAGGCCATACCAAAGAAACATGCTGGAATTTGCATGGTAAACCTAAAGATTTCAAACCAAGCAAAGGGAAAGGGGCCTAATGTAGCTACTGGAGATAAAGAAGACATAGGCACTTCTAACTTTGATGCATTTACCAATGAACAGATTCAGGTTCTTCAACACCTAATAATTCAAACTAGCCTTACTGCCCAGACAGGTAATGCCTTAACAAACCTAGTTGCACAGAGTCAGTCCTATTGGATTGTTGATTCAGGGGCATGAGATCATATGACCGGAGACGGTAAGTTTTTTGCAGAATTGATCCCTATGAAGAATAAGGTAACTATGAAGATTGCTGATGGAACTACTTCAGCAATAAAAGGGACTGAAAGAGTCAAAATTTCTGATAAGATAGTGCTTAACAATGTGTATATGTTCCAGATTTAAAGTTTAACCTCTTATCAGTCAGTAAACTGAAAAATGATACACATTTCCTAACTAAATTCTCTTCTCAATTGTGTGAATTTCAGGACATGTATGGACTAAAGCATGGTTTGACAGGTTCACAAGATCAGCTATTAAACAAGAGTTCATGCAATGTCAAACACCATACATTATTTGTAAAGAGGGCAGAGACTCTGGTAAAATGGCTATTCTTGTAGTATATGTTGATATTATTATGGCTATGGATTATAAGGCTGAATTGGACAAATTGAAGGCTCATCTAGCAAGAGAGTTTGAGATCAAGGAGCTAGGCGAGTTGAAGCTCTTAGACAGAAGGTCAACTATTGGTTATTGTACTTATATATGGGGTAGCTTAGTCACCTGGAGGAGCAAGAAACAATCAGTGATTTCGAGAAGTAGTGTAGAGTCTGTGAAGGATTATGGTTAAGAAGATTGATGAATGAGCTCAAACTTCCATTTGAAAGCTCCATCCAGATCTCATGTGATAACTAGTCTACTATAAGTATTGCTAAGAATCATGTCCATCATGACAGGACCAAACACATTGAGATAGATAGAATATTCTTATTGGAGAAGATTGCAACAAAGGATATCCAGCTGAGCTATGTTCCAACTTCCAACCAGGCAGCAAATAGCTGATATACTCACCGAGGCACTTCCCAGAATTCAGTTCGAAGACTTATCTAGCAAGTTGTGCATGAATGATATCCAGCTTGAGGGAGAGCGTAGATTATTACAGATAGTTTTAATTACTCACCCGATTGAAGATTTATGAGGAGATATCTTGGAGATCTCAGATTCTCTAAATATCCCCAAATATCTTTTCTTTATTAGGGAACCTTAATTAGAAGGATTCTTTCCTTATTTCACTTTTCTTTAGCTATATATATTCTGATATCTTCTCCTTGTATTACAAGTAACAAATAAACAAAATGTATTTTACTTTCTCGAGTTTTTTCTACAATTAGCATTTCGGAAACATTGGGTTTTAAAATTTTCCTTTTTTATGGGATTTCTTGATAAAAATAGTCCCTTCTTTAAAAAAATGTGGGATCTTTCCTAGGAACATTGTGATATATTTTATAACCGGATGCATTGTTAGAAATGTATTGCACTTAATGTTTAATCATGTACTTATATGTCATATTTTCTAAGTTTCAACATGTACTTATGTGTTTATTATTACATTACCAAAAAAGTAGTATGAATAAATAATGTTCAAATACATAAATCAAAAAACATGTGTACATATATGAAAAATATTTATAAATATATCATTATACTTTAAAAAAAATATTATACTTTTTAATATTTAAGCATTTCCCCACGTTTCATATCCTGTATTTTTCAGAAATGACACTTCCCGTGTTTCCCGCTTCCTATTTCGCGATTCTGTGGTACTTAGCATGCACCTTTTATTTAGAATTCATAAATATATTTATGCATATAATTACATTACATACACATATGGCATCTAAACAAATAATAAGTATTCTCAGTCTCAACCTTCATCATATTTATGAATCCTAAATTACCAATAAAAAGTCCTTAGCCTTGAAATCCTAAATCACATATGTGACACTCTTCTTGTCTTTTAAATCTTTCAAGCTATTTCACTACCAAGCATAGTGTAAAAGGCGTGTGGCGGCGTGAGGCGTTTTTATTGAATTTAGAGGCGTGAGGTGCGCGCCTCATGGAACTTAACCTTATATCTTTGATAAAATATATTTATACTACTTCAACATGAAGCATTGTTCCCATAAGGTGATAACATCACAAAGAATACTTCAAACCATTAAACAATCTTAATAAACACCTTAATAGAAACAAAATATTTATTCATACAGTAGCAAGAAATATATTAAACTATTAATACTGATTCTAAACAATTAGGATGTTTTTACTTGGACTGTAATTCCTGCCAGACCAGACCAGACTAGTTCAGACCAAACTTGGATAGTTATAAAAATACAAAGAAACCAGACCAGTTCAGACCAAACCAGCAAATTACAGTCCAAGTAAAAACATCCTTAATAGTAAATGTTTAAATGAACTTTTACATAACAATTTATTAATAATAACAAATTGCCATATATAATTTTATATAATAAACTTATATGCTACCAGAATATCGTATAATATAAAGTTAAATTAATTTTTATTAAACTATTAAAAGAATAAATTTAAACAATCTTATTGGACAACACATCTTTATTCTTATTTAAAATTGATAAACTTTCCAATTGGGATTAGGGTTATATGGTTATATATTTATATAATTTAAATTATTATATAAATTTAAAAAGTTAAAATAAAAAGAGAACAAAGAGTAGCGGAAGAAAGAGAACAGAGAGAATGGAAGAAAAAACTAAACAAACATACCTGCGAGAGACAGGAGCGGGAGATAAAGGAAGCATGGAAAAGCAAACTGCAGAAGGTTAGAGAGAAAGAAGAATTTGATGGAGTGAGGGGACTTTGATATGTGAATCGACAGTTGCGAGATGAACCACCAACAGATTTGAAGAATGTTCAGCGCCAGTTCCAAGAGGCACGAGAGGCAATGCCTTTTACAGGCGCAAAAAGCGGCGAAAGGCAGGGATTAGGCGCGCCTGTTGGAATCTGCCGCGTCTGGGATTGTCGGATGTGATAACCATATCGCCTAGAGGCACCTCGCGCCTTTGAGGCGCGCTTCTTTAAACCAAGCTACCAAGCAAGGTCAAGATTAACTCTTGTAATCTTCTAACTTAGACTTAGCAGAGCAGAAGCGATGAGACTCTGAAAGTATAAGAAGAGAAGTTGGAGACGAAAATAGATTGGAGAAGCTAGACGAACCAGAGAAGAAAAATCATATATTTCTAAGCTCGGAATGAGTATTACGTACTTAGATTAGTTTTAATATGGTTACTTTTTAATTTAAACCCTACTTTACTTCTTTAAAACTGCTATTGCGAGCGATATAAGCACAACAGCCAAAAGCTCAGCTCAGAGAGTCTTGTAGCACCAGCCCCTGCTCCGGTCCGCCGCTATTGCGCACTGTAGACATCACTGGCTACAAGGACTGATGCCCATAACATATTGTGTACGTATGGGCTCATGAAAAGCTCTCTTGAGCACATATACGCCCTCTATACCAAAAATAGTATATTTGAACAAATGAAGCTAATTTCTAACAAAAGTCACCAACAAATGTTAAAGCGATAAAGAGCAAATATACCAATCAACTATAGTCATCATCATCAGCCCAGTGCCGCAAAGGCTCTCACCTACGGTGGGTAAAGGGGGGTCAGATGTACGCACTCTTACCTCTGTGCTAATGCACAAAGAGAATGTTTCCAGATGACCCATAGTGAAAATCACGTCGAAAATTGCATGGACTAACGGTTGCTTCATAACAAAGAAGCGCAAACAGTTTAGTGAGCCATTTTGCTTTAACAGGGGTCTTTGGCTCCATTGCAAATGATGAAAAAATATACCCTTCAACTTACTTTTGGCTCAAAAATCTGTCAAAAGAAATTTATAGGTGTTAACACAGATGTTAGCCAGATTCCATAAAGGAGTTTTAAACTTTCTTCTTTTTGCAGGTGATTAGACATATCCCTTTTTTTAATTCATGAAAATCAAGAATTAGAAAATTGAAAATCAAGAATTGACCTTCTGTCCAAATCTTGAGAATTAGATGAACTATGGTAAGGTTCATGATGGCATGATTTGACAAACATCTGGAGCAAGTTTGTTAACAAAGGTACTGATCAAACCCTTTGCAATTCACACATGTTAAACAAAACCATGCAACATCTGATGCGTTTTCAAATTTGTTGCTTTTTTGTTTAGCTTAAAGAATTAGTCGCTTAACCTGTCGACCCATGCCATAATTGGAGAAGAAGTGTGACAATACAAGAAAGAACCGGTGACCATAGTTGTCATGGCGCATGGTGACATCAGTGGTGCACATGCATTTTCCCATGACGATGGCAATGACGATGGTGATGGCGCAAATATGGCGTCGTCACGTGACAAAAAAACTAAAAAATGAATTATAGACACTATAATTGTATCACCCAACCACCAAAACATGATAAAACAAGCTGAATAACAACATTCTAACCAAACCATGTGAAGTTAAAATAGTTTAAACCAAAATAGTTCCAAAAAACATAATACAATGGCGTATATATAATTAGAAATTAAATATAATTCATACATAATACCTAATATTTTAGGTACTTAATAACTTAAAAATAATCTATTAATAATAAAATACCTAATATTTTAGGTACTTAATAACATAAAAATAATCTATTAATAATAAAATAGCTTATATAATCAATTAAACAGAATAAAAAAGCTAAGTTATTTTACTTATTTATAATATAAGTAAACAACTAAGTAATCTATTAACCATATATAATATGTAATAAATTGTTTATATCTATAATAAACAAAATATTCAAAGGTAACTTTATTTTGAATTAATAATAAAAATATTGTATTATAATGCCTAACAGAGTCTTTAAGTTATCGCAAAATGTATCAATAATAAGTTAAGCTATTTTATTAATTTACTTTAAGTAATCAAAAAAATAGAATAAAAACCCTAAGTTATTTAACATGCCTGCTTCGGAAGGGAACAAACAACACGTGAAGTGGTCGAGGTCAACTTTCGACGCAGAGAGAGTAGGCTGGCGAGTCGTGACTCCAGGTTAATGCCCTATGGAGGCTGCCTTACACTTGTTTCCAGGAAGAGTTGAATTGCAGAGAACAGGGGTTCCGAAGGTGATACTCAAAATTTTTGAACATTTCCCATGGATTCCAGATGCTTCGGACAATTTTTGTCTACACTCGTCGGAATTCTCTTTCTACTTTCCCTGGACTTGCGAGCCTGCACTTCTATTTCGTTAAATAAGATGACCCATCTCCTTAGTGATGGCGTACAAATGGCGATGGCGCCCAAATGGTGTTGCCACCTGTATATGTAGCGCCACAGCCACTTTTCATGGCGCAGGGGGGATTTGTGTGCCTCATGGTGCACGCGCCATTCTGCGTCATCAACAACCATGCCGGTGACTGAAGGGGTTGAAGACATCATTGAGGAAGTTACCGCCTTATTAAGAATCCCAACTATCATCCTTGGCTCAATGGTTGTGAAAAGTTAAAACTGAAATGAGAAGATTTAGGGATTGTATTTCTTTTGGTCTTTCTCCAGTGATGTGTCATTTTGTTTCATTTTATTTAACTTTAAAATATGAGTATATCTTTCAAGATTTAGTTAGAGAGGGAAAAGTTAGTTTTTTGGATGTAAAAACTAACTGAGAGGTATTTTAGACCAAGTAATTCAATTTTACAGTTCTTTAAGCCATGAAAAAAGGATAAAGGGTATACATGTTCCTAGACGTATAATTAGAGGGTATATTTGTTCTTTACCCTAAATGTTAAGTAAAATAAATTTGGGTAAGACAAATTGTAAGATCAAGGTATGATTGGGATTTGGGGTCGAGAATTATGATAGTTATTAAATTGTATGAAATGTAAAAGGTTTTACCTTATCAAAATTAATAGGCTGTGAGTGACCGGGCGAAATACTGAAATATGACTTCATATGGAATGAGCAATTATTTAACCTACATTAAGGTGACCATAATAATACTCCAAAACCCTGCTTTAGAAGCTATTCGGAATGGCGAGCCTATTCAAAAAGGTTAGAGCTTGGCAACAAATTTGCAAGCTGTTCATTAGAACTAGCCATGGTGCAAAATTAGAAAGAGGAACTCGTATACCGTAGGTAACAATGAAGACACCACAACTAGGCCTAAGTGCAATATCAGCCTGAGCGCAGTTCAACTGTCACCCAAACCCTAATCTCTAGACTGGACCTCTTAACTTTTCTCATTGCAAGATAACATTGCCAATGCCAACATTGATATAAGTGAATAAAACTGTAAATGAATAATAAATTGCAGTATAATAGAAAAATAGTCATGCCTGTCTTTTTGAGCGAGACTTTGCGTTTATGAGGTTGCGGCTGAGCAGGCGCCTCTTTGGCTTCACGAGCAGCTCTCTTAGCCAAATTTGTCTGGTGGCGCTTCCCTTGAGTATGAGCCAAGTAGTTGCCCTCATTGTTGTGCAGGGTCAAGCAGAGCTTACACTCATAGCTCCCGAGGTGGTTACGCATAAAATACGGATCTTTGGCGAGGTCAATAGTCTCGAGGGCTAACCTCCGCAGCCGTTCGCGGCGGTCAATTGCCTCATTCTGTGCGGAAGCGGCTCCTCCACTCCCCGGCTTCGAACCCCACTCTCGATCCATCGCTACACTGCTCCCTTACAAGACCGGACTGCAATTGGAAGGCTAGGGCTTCTAATGCTGACAACCCCTCTCAAGATAGGTGTAATGGTGTATTCACATTATTAACAGGTGTGTTGCACGACCTACCATAATAATTGACGATAGGAAAGATAACACCTCAATAGTAATGTCACACTTCAATTGTCCAAATTGTCGTAAATGTTATCCTTTAAGTGGTGAAATATACTCCCGCCACATTGTATATTTCACCCCTCAAAAAGACCACATTTACAGCATTTTGGACAATTGAGGGACGACATTTACAAACTTGAAAACACAGGTCTGAGATTTTAATTTCGTGTATAACTCAGGAACCATATATGCTATTTTACATTGACAATAATTCAATTATTATTCTTAATGAGCGCATAATACTGTTTTTTATGTGAATTAAAATTAAAATGTTCTCAATTTTATTCAAGACAAAATATAATATTACAAATTGGTAAAAACCTCTTTGTATACAACATTTAATGTGGAGTTTGTCGGTCTACAATTATCGTCACATATCAAAAACTTCAAATCAGCTGGACTCGTGACTCTTGATACAACAACGTAAAGTTGTTAATGGGTGAAAATCGGTCATCGTAAGAATATCCCCACATTTTCCAATGATTTGCCCAGACTCTTATTTATAGTCATCGCATAACTAACCATCAGATGGAACTACCTGCGCTGGAAGATGAATGACAGTCTAACATCGGAAGGAGTCAAGGTAAGACGGGGAATGAAATGTTTTTGGACGGCAGTTGGCCCTGACAACATTTGGGCCTCAATAACATGCTTTCCAAGTCGGATCACTAAAGGTCGAGTGGCATTACACAAACCCAGTGAGTGATCATGTAACATCATCCCCAATTATATTTACTTTTATGTAAATCATGTATTGAACCTTACGAAATGATTAATGAATTTACGAGGTTGTAAATTTTTGTTAATACTTTTGCGTGAATTGTGAATTGCACGTAGGGCCCACATCGATAGCGGGGACCACCCTATATTTTCGGGACCACATATTATATTCATTTTGGTCTAGATAATACTTCCTCCGTCCCTAAAAGGATTGTCAAGTTTGTCTGACACGTAGAATAATAAAGTAAAAACTGTGTGGTAGAGATTTGTGCAGAGGAGAGAGAAATAACAGGAGCCACAAATTGATTAATTAAAAGGGAAGGTGGCAAAGTTTTTGGGACAACCAAAAAAGGAAAGTTGGCAAAGTTATAAGGGACGGAGGGAGTATGTATATGGTGGTGTATATACTAGTTAGGCCATGGAAAGGGCTTAAGGTTGACCGATTGGTCAAACGAGGCCCAATTACCGGTATTGGTAATTTATGGGATAACAGTCTGAAATGGGTTTCGGAGACTTCTAAATTAAATTTGGAGAATGCATATTCATTCTAAGGGCCCATATGGGTTGAGAATGAGTGATATATTTTATTTGGACCGATAAAATAAAATATAATTAAAACAGTCCGAGAAATACAACTTTCGGGATCGATTATACATCTCATGACATAAAGGGATGACCTCCAACATGAGTGAGGGCCACCCCACGTTTTTGTGTGCTCAAAGTTGACTTGAGGGGGCTGCATTATGGTGAGAGGGTGTTGAGAGGATGTATGAGTGAAGGTGAGACATGAGGTGGACCATCTCATCCACACTCGTTGCTCTATTGAGACAAAAGAGTCATCCTCACTCTCCCCTCTACCACAACTTCGACCAAGCCATCAAGAGAGGCTAGAGAAGCCCCTGCAAAACACCATTTTTCCATATCCAAGAGAGCTCAAGCAAGAAAGAAGCTCAAGGAAGAAGAAAAGGTTGCAAAGTCAAGAAGAAACCTCACTCATAAAGGTAAGGAGCTCTTTAATGACCTTTCTCCTATCTTTTAGTTATCATATGACATGTATAGCATATGAGGAACCCCTAGGCTTGTTCTACATGTTTAGAAATGTAGAATGAGGGGTTGGAAGGTAGTTCTAAGTCCAAGAACGGACTTAGAGGCCAAAGTGACCGGTTCGTCGGAAAATGACCTTTTAGAGGTTATTTGTATTGATATGGGTTTTATGATGATAAAACCTTGCTAGGAACTTGTCTAAGGTGTTCCTAGAGCTTTCACGGAGTTGAAAGAGTCGTCGAAATGTTCGCCGGAGTTTGTCAAAGTTCGCCGGAGTTTCGCCAGAGTTCAACCGAAGAGGATAGAACTTCATAAAGCTCATTTGAGGTGAGTGGATGGCTTAATGTCTTGTAACTCTTGGGTTAAGTATGAGATTACCTAAGTAAATGTTATAAGTGTTCATAATGATGTTTAAAAGAGTTTAAGCATGTGGTTAGCCAAGGTAATTAGGCTTATGTGGATGATATTTCATGATTTTGCATGTTAAGAGTACAAAATGTGTATAAAACATGTGTGATGTTTTGGATGGTTAAAACGGTATGTAATGGTTGTTTAGGACCTAATATATGTTGTATAAAAGTTTCAGATCGATCGGGGGTCATTCGGGGGATCAACGGATCACCGCCGTTGGGCAGTCGGTGACCCGGCGCCGGCCTTAGGGCTGAACCGGCGCCGGTTAAGCCACTGTCTGGCCGAGCTGGGAAATTTTACACAGACCCGGTGTCGGGTATAGGGGTAACCAGCGCTGGGTAGGCTGCTGCCCCGATTTTTTTCTTCGCCGAAAATGCGTATCAAGGCCCGGTTTGAGGGCGGATCAACCTCGGCCATCCTATGTAAGTATATTGTGCATGGAATTGCATGGATTATGATATTTAATTGTTAGGTTTGATATCTAATGATTAAGCTCTAAGGCTTGGTCTAGTCTTGAAAAATAGTTATGATGTAGGCCCTATCTAGACTGATATGAGGTAGATCATAGGGATACATATGGTGGAGGACCTAAGGACTTTAATGTCCTCAAAACTTATATGCATATGGTGGAGAACCCTAGGACTAAAGAGTCCTCAAAACTCGGAATATATATTTCGGTGGAGAACCCAAGGACTAAAGAGTCCTCAAAACTTATATGCATATGGTGGAGAACCGAGGGACTAAAGAGTCCTCAAAACTCATATGTATATCGATGGAGGACCCAAGGACTATAATGTCCTCAAAACTCATAGGTAAAACGGTGGAGGACCCAAGGACTAAAATGTCTTCAAAACTCATGGTGGAGGACCCACGGACTTTAATGTCCTCAAAACTCATATATATAAATGGTGAAGAACCAAGGACGGCGATACTATCCTCAAAACTCAGAATATGAATTGATTAGGATCAGGAGGAGTCCTATACACCCATAGGTATATGGGTGGGTTGGGATTTGAGTCAAGAATATTGACTACTACTAGTTTCCCAAATAAACAAGGACCTACGGGTCGGGTATTTCTAAGTATATATATACTGCTATGTATTTCATAACATGGGGGGAAGTACTATACGTGTATGTATCACCTTATGTTTGGGTCTTATACTTGAAACGTTAGTTACTCTACACTTAGCTTGCTACTCGCTCGGTACTTGTACTGACCCCTTCGGGGGGACCACCATTTTCAGGTGAAGCTAGGGCTTGCTACCTGCACCTTCTTACAGGTGAAGTCATTCAAGGAAGACGTGGTTCGTGCTTCCTTATTTCATTTCAAACTACCAAACACTTGCTCATGGATATTTGATATAGTATAAACTATTTTGTTCCTGTGAGCCCATGTTTTGGCAGATTGTGGCCCATGCTTTACTGTTGAATATTTTAGCTATTCATTGGTTTAAATGTGATGTTGATATGTATGTTTACTACTGAGTATGGATGGATTATGTTCATGGACGCCTTGTATGATCACGTCACGTTGACTTGCGAGTGACGTCACTTGGTCATACGGCGGTTGTACACGCGCTTAGATGCGGTCTGGGGCATGACAATTAAGTGGTATCAGAGCCATCTCAGATCTAAACTATGTAATCAACCTCTCACAAGAGATTTTACAAAACGAATTTTACCGAAAACCATGAGCATGTATTTTGACGTTCATAGAGCTATTGTTACCTAGGTTGCAAGGTCTCTAGTTGTTAAGACGGTACCCTTAACAATTGGTATGGCGGTGACTTGGGCCAATATGTGTCTATAACGTGTTCCGTCAATTGACATTGATTGGAGTCTAACGACTCGTTCAAATTTCTTGTAGAAATGGAGGGTAGACGTATGCCGACGAGAAACAACCCTAGAGGACTAGCTACAGGAGCCTCCGTGGGGGGCTAGCCGAGCCACATCCCTTGGCTCTAGGGGAAGAAGAGGAGGCCGTGTAGGACGTGGGGGCCATCGTGTCCAAACAGTGAGCGATGGCCACGTAAGCTCGGTGTATAAAACCAGCACCGAGAATTATAACTCAACATTCGTTCCTGAAACGGAGCATGAGAAGACCCCATATGATGGGAGTGACTTCCACACCGACGAGGAAGACAATGAGGAGAGTGATGTCCGATTCGCTCAAATGGGAGAGCTGCTAGAATGGTATCAAAAAGAGAAACAAAGAAGAGATCTTAGGCGCCAAGCGAGGCGTGGCTCTCAAGGAGATTCGGGTCAAGAGGGGCAGGGGCTTCAAGGGCCGTCTCAGGGGCGTCTCGGGATAGACGTGAAGGAGATTCTTGTGTGAGGATCTCCAAATACCTCAAGGAGGCTAGAGCCTAAGGGTGCAGGTCCTTCACGGCATCGGCGATATTACCGTTGCCGCTGTTTGGATAAAGAAGGTGAAAGATGCATCTAGAGACATGCAAATAACACCTGACGTGAAGTTGATTGTTGCTTCACGTTTGCTTGAAGGGATAGCTTCTACATGGTGGGAGAGTGTAGAAGGAAAATACTGTGGGAATATCTCATGGGAAAACTTTGAACAGGAGTTCTACGAACAATACTACTCCGATTACGAGGTTAATGTGAAGCGTAGGGAGTACACCAACCTCAAGCAAAGGGAAGGTGTAACTGTTAAGCAATTGGAGCAAGAGTTTAGAACCTTGGCTAGGTTCTTACTAGAGTATGCGACCGATGAGGACCGCATGACCGAACACTTTTGGGATGCCTTATTGTTGGACAT